CTCACCTTCAGCTTCTGCCGGAACAGCGGCGTACCGATGGCAAACTGGATCGAGTCTGTTTTGTTTGAGGGGTTAGGCAAAGACTTGCCCTGTCTCTCTGGCGGTCTACGAACGTACATACGAACTGGACGCCGGCGAGCGAGAAGCAGAGAAAGAAGAGCCAGGTGGTGTACTTGATGGTGCCCCACGCGCCAAGCGAGGGCTTCTGCCCGACTGCACCACGAAACAACGCGCCGCGGCATCAATACGTAACAACTAAAAATAAATAAATAATAAAAAAACAATAAAGCTGGAGGATGGCGCACCGCGGACGAGGTCGGCATCGTCGACAACGTTGATGCTGCCCTCATTTGAGCGCCAATCGCTAGAGCTCATTGTGCAGTAATTTGATTATTTAATCAAATCAATTCTGGTCAATCTTCGCGTTAGAGATGAAGCAGGCAGCCTTCCAAAATCAATTACACAATAACTTAATGTACGTAATATGGAATAAATCTCTACCAATCTTTCTCATGTGAGCCTCGATTTGGGGTTCATACCTATGTCGGCCTATGGTGCCCGCTCTCTCGTCGAGATGGAGGCCGGCCTGTCGCTGCTGGCCGGGGTACTGTTGTGTCTGCGAAGAGAACGAGGAAAGAGGAAGGGAGGAACCTTTCCCTCACGCGCCCAGCGTGCTTTCTGTCTCAGTTGCGGTGCCGGTCGAACCCGTGCGACCGCCACACGGCCCAGAAAACCGGTGGGCACCACGAGGGGTCCGGCGCTGGGGACCCTTTTCGATTCCCGCCCGCAACATGTTCACTATCACGAAATGAACATGTGTTGTTGCATCACTATGACTATCAACACAGCTTTAATGCTGTTGCTACTATTAAATCCCTCCACCACGCAGTAGATGATCGAGGAAGGGAGGAGGACAGCGCTTGGTGGCAGGCATCAGGCCAGGAACTGGTCGTGGGGTGGAATCAGAAGAAGAGGCCGTAGAGGAAGCGGAGCTCGAACAC